TTGTATATTGTTGCTCTTTTGTTAGTTTTGACTGCTTTTATTGTCCTCATTTGTAAGTCGCTTTGGATAAAAGCGTCTGCTAAATGACTAAATGTAAATGTAAATGTAAATGTATGCTTTTTCTGAGAAGGCCTTGCGCAGGTGCAACACTGTCCTCACTCACGACGGTATGTTTAATGGGATAAATAGCCGAGGAGCATCAAGGTTATGGCGAAGCCGTGATGTAAATGGACCGACGCATCGGGGGGTGACAGCTGAGCAACAACAACAAAACATGAGCCATTATTTAAAAGGTGGCACACACATAAAGCACGACCACCACAGCACCTTCAAAATAAAAGGCTTTTATTTATATGCTGTCAATACAGTTCGCTTTACATCTTCTCAATGGCAACACAACGGCTCCAGACAAAGGCACGGTGAGAGGCTGCTATGTGAACGTGAAAAATATTGTTTGAGCTCTCTACAGCTGCCTTGCACACTTTTGGTGACCGGTTTCTACTGTAGGTTTGGCCGGCGCAAGCGGCGCAGTGTGGGAGAGTGGCTCTCGACCTTCCAGACTGAAAGGGTTTCCCAGGGACAAGCCACAAAGAGGTCCGTCCGTCAGAGGGGCCCACGCACGCCGCCTCAAAGATCCGCGGCAGCTGTCACGCTGGAGCTCTCGCCAAGCAACAACAGTTCTCTGCTTTGAATAATTTCTGTGAGATTTGAATAAGCACATTTACAAAAGGGGTTTTGCCAGCTTCAGGGTGAGTGTGCGAGCAGAGCGAAATGAAAATGAGGTGACTGGAGTGAGAAATTGAAGCTCGAAGTGAAGTGAGAAGTTTAAAGGTGTGAGGAAATCCATCTCCTGGGTGCCAGTGGAGAGATTCAAAAACCAACTGAACCAATATCACAGATATCACAATATCAAACCAGAAATGTGTTACTTTTAATATTATACAGTTAGTTCTGGTCCTTGATTGGTCATACAGCGATCTGATAGTTCTAAATAACTATGCTTGTCTGAGTTTGTGCGTTTCAAAAACTGTTGACTCTACAGGTAACAAGCGACTGCCTTCATAAGTAAGTTATTTACTCCTTTATTTAATCAATTCATTCAAAACCTCTGATTCATCCTGGAATGAAACAAGTGATGGTATGTATGAATGAGTCATTTACTCATTCATCTAATCGATTAGATCAAACCCATTCATTCAGGAACTAAACAACTAATGTATGTTGCTTGGAGACGCAATGGTCAATTCTGCTGGGACTTTGTTAGGAACTCTTTTCATTGGTGAAGCAAATCTGCACAAAGTAAAGGCCTGTTCATACCAAGGACCATAACTACTATAATGATAACTGACTAAAAAGTGAATACCACAGAAACAATATAATTGGAATCACTTTTCACAATTTTTTACAGCTGATGAATGAAACCTTGACAGTCATGATGTGAATTTAAAAAAACAGTGCTACTCATCTTTATCATACAATGCATGTTCAGTGATGCAAGTGATATCTGATATTAAAAGGTTCTGGTTGATCTGATGGGTTTTTGTACATCTCAAAATACCCTCGAGTCATCCACATAAACCATGTACCATATATCATACATTTACTGCAGACAGCTTCAGCAGTTAAGGACGCAGGCCCCAAGCTCAGGTTTCATTTGCATCTCTGATCAGGATTTTATCTACAAATAATGTGCAGACGCCATCTTGTCTCCTGGTCTATGGCGTTTGATCTCAGGCACAGTGAGAATCTGATATCAGGGGTTCTTGTAAAAAGAGACAGGCATCAAAAAGCTTTCCACGGAATAAGTGTTTACCCATGACATAAGGAGCTGTCAGTGTGTCGTCCGCGCTGTCGGTCCCCTCAGGATAAAGAGCTGTGCAGATTTGAGGACTTTATCTCTCTAGAAGGGATTATACATGGTTACAGGGCAGAACTGAATCGTTAAAGGAGACTTCCGGGTTCAGCAGAAGTTAAGCTCTGGCTTAACATGGCATAATGTTGATTAGCAAACAAAATACTTTTGATTTGTCACTTGAAACGCAAAATTGTGTTTATAGAAAGACACTTACAATGGAAATACTAGGGTAAAAAAAAATCAACCTAAAATGACATCAGGTTTCATAACTTGCAGAGCTCATGCGAACAGGCCTCGATTTCACAGCATCTGCTCCAAGATACTATTGTAATTGTCAATGCCAACATTTCATTGTCTGACAAGCTTACAGCGAAGCGCTTGTTCTTCTGCCAAAAAACAAAACAAAACACCAATAAATCTGACAAATTATATTTTTTTCTGCCTTCTTTTGGGTCTGGTAACTGACTTTGCATTGATGTCCTCTAGCAAATCACATTATTCATAACTGTTGACTCATTATTCAAAATCATTACCACACAGAAAAGCAATTAAAATGCACCCCAAAGTTGTTTCCAATGTGTCGTTTTCAGAGACAACTGGGCAAACATACAGAACATTGCATACTGCACAAAGATTTCTATTGTTTCAGATGGAAGTAGCTGTCACAGTTCTTGCCATTCTTTAATTCAGTAAAAAAAAAATCTCAAAATAGTGCTGATTTTGGAGCTTTTTGCATTCTAATAATTACATTAATCAGGAAAAGTACTTGTCCACAATCAACATTTTAGGTCTCAATGCGTCCTTTTTTGAGACAATATTTTGATTGAAAACAGAGATGGAAGATGAATAAAAAAACTTTTTCTTGCTTATTTTCTTTATATTCATTTCCTATAACCTATCATTTTTAAACATTAATATTAATACATAACATTTTTATTGAAAAAATGTGACATAAAAATGTTTTAAATATATAACAATTTAAAAGGTTAAGGAAAATTAAGAAGTTTAAATTATCACTTTCATTTCAGCTTTCATGAGAAAATGAATGGTTGGTTCTATTAAGTGGTTTCAGTTCTGTTAACAGGTGGCTCTGGTAACCAGTTTCATTAATTTTAACCAGGAAAAAGAACAATGTTCTTATCAATACAGTACAAAGCAAAACCCCAAATAAAATAATATTCTTTACATAAAATCTTCCTAGTTTGATAGACCTTTAAACAGTCAGAAAGAGAACATCATTTGTGTAACTTTTTCTCTCACTTAAGAAGCCCCTAAGAGGACATGCCTCAAAAATTATATTTCAATATTTCTGCATTCTTTCACAAAACCACAGCATTCCCCCAAGAAACTTTACGTTCTCTTACAAAAGTATAGACCTTAGTCAGGTTAGATGTCACATTGAATTTAACAGAAAAACAAGGCTGTGAGGCTTAGAATCTTTACAATGGCACGCTCTGTATAAAGGCTCAAGATCACTCAATTGTTTTGTCATAATTTTGCATGAACTTTGCATTCTCTCACAAGACATTTGCGTTCTCTCACAAAACGATTACGTTCCCCTTAGAAACTTCATGTTCGCTTGCAAAAGCAGTGAAAAATTTTTTCCTCCTGTTTTATTTCCATCACAAACGTTTTGTGCAAGAATGCAAGAAGCATTGAAATATAATTTTTCCTTGTTTTTTTTTTTAACATCGCCATGTTCCTTTAGGGACTTTAGTTTGTTTATCACATAAATAATTTCATTTTAAATAAAACAGTTGTGAATCTGAGAAAACAGATTGTGTTGAACTACTATGGGGAATTGAAACCCATCTGGCAACCCTTCAGACTTGACAATATCACTTTTCCAGAATGCGGCCATGGCTGACAGCAACAGCTTCAGTGAATCAACACAGCGGAGGCATGTGCAATTTTCTAAGCTCCTCTCTCTGACATCTTGAACAATATCTTTTTCAACCTATGGCTGTAATGGTTGAGGCCTGTCAACCCCACCAGTCCCCCTTGGCACTTGCTCTCACATGGAGCACTTCGATGCATTCAGTGTGATTTAGATCAACTACCTTGGACAAAACCACTTCGGCAGGAAGGTACGAGGAGGGGAGGGGATAAGCAGGAACTTGAGAAATGGCTCTTTTATCAGCACTAAAGTGCTGGTTGATCGATGGGCTGAGATTAAAGAGACTGATGCTGGCCACGCTTGAGAGAGACATCAGGACAGCCTGCCAGGACAAGTTTCTCAGAAGCGTGTTTATGTGAGTAAGCGTATAGCCGATTTGGTAACTGGGTTCAGTTCAGGACAGGAGTAGCATGGGGATTCAGGCCAGAACATTCCTCTAGAGAGAGACACGATCGGGTTGGCCTGAGGGAAAATAATCTGCATTTTGAGGATACAGTCCCAAACCGTTTGGCATCTGTTCAGCGTTATTGGTCAATCAACAGGTTTTCTTACAGTTTATTTTCTTATTGATCATTTATAGTATCCAATATGTATTCTGCAGGTTTGACTGTACCTTTAAATTTGTGTGGCTCATTTCTTGTGTAGCACCTTCAAGAAGCATTCTGCACAGCAATGTGATTGAGTTGAGCTCTTTGTCCTTCAAGAATTTGGCATTTTCCTGTAAGTACATTCAGCAGAGACAGAGTTGGGAAGGCGAATAACAGCCTTATTTCCCCAAATGCCCCTGAGCTAAACAGGTACGTTGAAGCAGGCCTGTATGTAATTAGTAGCACTTGTTAAATTACTATTGCTCATATGGTTAATGATTTTAATAATCTTTTGCATGTTACTCGCCTCACAGCATGGACATGAATGTGTCAAAAAAATGCTTGATCTGTCTTGGTCAGCCATTCTCATTTTCATATCATTAAGAGAATTATTCATCTATTTTACTTTCACATTTTCAAACATCTTTTACTCAACACATTTTTACCTGAAAACTATTTGGATATTCCATTGTTTGAGCAAACATGTAGTCCACTAATTCAATGAGTGCTTTGTCACATGAAGCTGACACACTCTTATAGCAATCTGTAACTAATTTACGCCTTTGGAAAATTGGTGGCTAATTCCAATGAGCAAGTAGAATCTCAAATATTTTGTACAATCTGCTCATGGCTGTTTGGTTTAGGAGTGGACCTTCATGCTTACTTTTTTTCTAAAAATCACAAGTTTCCATATGAATCACAACAAACCAATTCATACGAAATTGAAACCTTGCAAAATAGTTACGTTTCCTTGTGAGATCGGGCTGTTAAAGTAATAGTTCACATTTTCAAAAATGAAAATGTGCTCATTTGGAGAAATGTAGCATTGCATCACTTGCTCACCAACATTGCATCACTTGCTCACTAAAAACGTCACAATAATCCACATGACTCCAGTCCAACCGTTAACATCGTGTGAAGTGAAAACCTGTGTGTTTTTAATAAATAAATCTTGGATGGTGTAAGGGTGAGTAAATGATCAGCAAATTATCAAATATTTTGTACAATCTGCTCATGGCTGTTTGGTTTAGGAGTGGACCTTCATGCTTACTTTTTTTCTAAAAATCACAAGTTTCCATATGAATCACAACAAACCAATTCATACGAAATTGAAACCTTGCAAAATAGTTACGTTTCCTTGTGAGATCGGGCTGTTAAAGTAATAGTTCACATTTTCAAAAATGAAAATGTGCTCATTTGGAGAAATGTAGCATTGCATCACTTGCTCACCAATGGATCCTCTGCAGTGAATGGGTGCTGATAAAAACGTCACAATAATCCACATGACTCCAGTCCAACCGTTAACATCGTGTGAAGTGAAAACCTGTGTGTTTTTAATAAATAAATCTTGGATGGTGTAAGGGTGAGTAAATGATCAGCAAATTTAAATTTTTGGGTGAACTATTCCTTTAATTTTGCGCCCAATGTAAAATGTCCAGACCTAAGAGAAAGAGCACTGGAGGACAGCCATTTTCCAGCCATTCAGAGATGGTTCTGTCCTGATGGGCTGGACACATTGAAGAGTGAACAATGATTACAATAACTGAAGGAGATCAAATAAAGTGGCTTTTTAATTGCAGGAGAGAGGCTATTACTGACGCACCCACGCGGAACCAGCTCTGCTTTGCCGGCGCTACCACATTTCACTGCAAATAAATCTATATAAATAATTAAAACATAAAAAAGCCAAGAAAGATGATAAAAACAGCAGGGAGATTCCCTCATAGTCAGTAGACGTGATAATTACAGAAAAGGGCAAGATGAAATGTGGGGACAACAAGACATGTAATGGGGTCAGAAAACTAAACAAAGAGCAAGGAGGGTAAACAAAATGTTCCTGAAGAGTTTACTCTGGTGTCATCTGCTATATGTGTCAACTCTGACACATGTGGCATTTTCAAAAGTTTACCTTTGTTTACTCTTCAAAGTGTGGTAATGAACAAGTTCTCAAAGCCTCGCTAAGCTTACATTTTCACAGATTCCTTATTTATTCTTTCTTTCTTGTAATATAAAATGAGCATCTTGTGATCTTTTTATTTCCTGATGCTCTGTAAATCTAAAAAATGTGATGTAAAGACTGCAGCAGTACTGTAATGGGGGGATGTGCAGTACCATCTGTGCTGTGCTTTTGAAGGTCATTAGCAGGTCCACATGGAATCTGTGCTCAAAAAAACTCTGCAGATTTTCACAGAATTGGAACATTTGTCTTTTACATAGTTCTACCGCATGTTTGTTTACTGAAGTGCTTTCAGGTACCGATAAGAGATCTATGCAGAAACTGAAACTGTGAGAGGGAGAGAGAGAGAGATTCTGTCTGGTTCAGTATCAGTCATCACACATGAAAAAGTTCAATGATGTAAATTACTGCACACATGTAAAATAAAATGCTTGCCTGTTTAGAATTGTTAAAACGTGAGGTTCTGCACGGTATTCAATAAAATAATTCTTTATGACCACATTTGAGTCACAAGGTGCCATGACACTTTTACAACCCATAATGCTACATTAATCATTAGTACTCACCGTGAAAGGTTTGTGGTTTCAAAAGAAAGCAGCAGCAATGAAAGTACAAACACATACTATATAATTTCACACACACTGGTCTGTGCTGCTCATGTTTTCAAGCAACAACTAACTTCGCTCTTGAACTCCGCAGATGCTGACCTATATATTAATATCTTTCCATTTCACTTCCCACGTCTTGTTTGTTACCCACAGACACCACAACCACTTGTTACAACCTTACCTCTGAGTCTGTGACTGCTTTCATTTTTGTGTAGTATATGTAACATATAGATTGTCATTGTGATGATTATTTATTCAAATGAATCATATAAAAAAAAATTTAAGCAGTTAAAAGGCATTTTATAATTGCAAACATTGCTATGCAATTTATTGCAGTTAATGTGATTAATTATTAACATATCATGCAGTCAATACCATATTCATTTTAATCGATTTACAGCTCTAGTACTGTTATATATGTCTTGTGTAATATATGTCTGAGAATTTTCCAATGTTCTTTCACCCCTCTTGAAGAGTTGAAATAGTGAAGATGAGGGCAGAACGCGTCAGTGTCTGAAGTGTTTAGCCGTGTTGGCTCTAGTGGATGTCAAGAGGCACAGCCAGGAACGCTTTCTCAGGTCGTGTAGTCACAACACAGCCATCAATACCACTACCACCAGGTAAAGACAAACACAAAAGTGACCCCCTGCCGCTTTGCCCAGGTGTGGGGCGACACCGCAGCAGGGGGGCAGCTCACAACCTTTAAAGCAGGGTTAGATCAAGCAAGCTTTCCTTGAAAGTCATGCTGTCACATCCACTCTATTTCCCGATGTGAGCTTTTTATGAGAGTTTTAAGGAAAACATCACTTACAAAAATATGAAGCTACAGTGATTCAATTTACATGCAGGAATATATTACCAATATATGGATTAAACACCATTATATAATATTATTATAATATATTGACAGACAGACAGATAGATAGATACTGTACTTATATTTTGACAAAACTTTTCTCATCAATAGCAGTGCCAACGTGGAAACACTGTCACACACATGGAGAATCAATTATGCCTCGGCTCTTACAAAACAAATGTCTCTGTGCTTCACTGTTTGTCAGTAGTGGTCAAGATAACAATGAAGTGAAGATGTCCAGTGGAACAGCATTGAAGAGTTGAAATAGTGAAGATGAGGGCAGAACGCGTCAGTGTCTGAAGTGTTTAGCCGTGTTGGCTCTAGTGGATGTCAAGAGGCACAGCCAGGAACGCTTTCTCAGGTCGTGTAGTCACAACACAGCCATCAATCCCACTACCACCAGGTAAAGACAAACACAAAAGTGACCCCCTGCCGCTTTGCCCAGGTGTGGGGCGACACCGCAGCAGGGGGGCAGCTCACAACCTTTAAAGCAGGGTTAGATCAAGCAAGCTTTCCTTGAAAGTCATGCTGTCACATCCACTCTATTTCCCGATGTGAGCTTTTTATGAGAGTTTTAAGGAAAACATCACTTACAAAAATATGAAGCAACAGTGATTCAATTTACATGCAGGAATATATTACCAATATATGGATTAAACACCATTATATAATATTATTATAATATATTGACAGACAGACAGACAGACAGATAGATAGATACTGTACTTATATTTTGACAAAACTTTTCTCATCAATAGCAGTGCCAACGTGGAAACACTGTCACATACATGGAGAATCAATTATGCCTCGGCTCTTACAAAACAAATGTCTCTGTGCTTCACTGTTTGTCAGTAGTGGTCAAGATAACAATGAAGTGAAGATGTCCAGTGGAACAGCATGTCTAGTGACAGACGCATTCGTGCTGTGAGGAATTTATCACTATGGCTCCATCAATCTCTGCCCAGCCAAGCTGCCAGTCTTTGGATGAAACCACACTTGGCACTGGCCACTAGCTTTTCATTTCAGCCACGGACAAACCAAACCATCAGGGAGTGAAACCTGCAGTTAGTCTCTCTCTAAAAGGGAACTTTGGGTTGATTGGCTGTGATTGTCTTACACAAAGCATGAAAAAAAATGGTACAAACATAATCTGTGGACTCTCTACACATACAGAAGAGGATATCTGTAGAAGTTCACTTTTTGATAACTTTTGTTAATTTTGGCCTGCAATGTCATCAAACACGGACACATATGTAAATCGATTAAGTAACAATTTAATGTAATATAAATGATAATAGAATTTGTTCATATCTTAAAATAACTAATTGTATATTAAAATGAATATAATTCATAAATATATTTAGAGATAAATGACTGTTGTTTCACATTTAATATGAAAGTAAATGTAATTTGGTATAAATTTATATTATACAATGTGTGCATAAAGGTGCGGCCATTTTTACCATTGTTCACTGAATTTTTGTGAGAGAGATTCAGTTATTCCAATATGAATCCACATAATCAAAGGCCAAAAGATTTCACCAAGCAGATTTTGCAATGTGTTCAATCCGCATTGACCAATAGAAAACTGCTTGGTTTGAAAATGACTTCTGTGTGAGCTGTGCTTCATACTCTACACTATTGACAGTAAACAATGGAGTTTTTGCTTAATGGAAAGTTTCTTGGGGACACACAATAGTTTTGCAAGAAAACGCAAATGTATTTTGAGTGAACAAATGCAACTGAGATTGAGAGAATGCAAATGTTTTGCGAGCGAACGCAAAGTTTCTCGAGATAATGCAAAAGATTTATGAGAATGCAAATGTTTTGCGAGCGAACGCAAAGTTTTATGAGAGAATGCAGAAGTAATGAAACCTAGAATTTTTTCTCCCTTTTGCAAAGTTTCTTGGGGGAAACGCAATAGTTTTGCAAGAAAACGCAAATGTATTTAGAGCGAATGCTAAGTTTCTTAAGAGAACGCAAACTTATTGAAATAAATTGTTTCTCCCTTTTGCTCTCATCTGATATTTTAGGGGCTATTTTATATCCCTTAGAGGCTCCGTAGGAACCGGATTTGAAAGTGAAATGAAACTCACATCACACTGCATGCCACCACGGCTCAATGTGCTGAAGCATGTGGCTGAACCACTAGGCCATGACTTGCTATGACACATTATGAGCTCTAACTACAGTAAAATCAGAGAGGCTGCAGCATGTAATGTGAGAGTATGTTTGAGTGTGAAGTCAAACTGTGGGGCGTGCAGGCTCTTATTTCACCATATGCTGTGACTATTTTCCTACCTTTTCACGAGACGTTTTCTCCTCAAGGGGAAAGTCATTTATTCCTCCTCCTGTGTCTGTGGCGCAGAGGCATTAATTCCAACCAAGGAACTGAAAAATAATTAAGAGCACTTTCTGCTTTTTATGTGTTTGCTGTAAGGCACCAGCTTCTCCATATGCCTTTCAGATTCATTTCACACTGTAGAGCTAGAGACATAGACAGCAGGACAATGACAAGGTCAATGATATTTG